GGAAAACCCTCCGCTACAAATTTAGGCTAAGTATGTAAAACTTTCTCTAATTTATGATAATTTCGATAAATAGACAACTTAGCGGTTTAGAGAGACTTTTTTACTGCCCCACAAGGAATTCTTTATGCATGATAAATTAGTGATAATTATGTTCAACATCAGGCAAACTTACAACCAAGAATGCTTGCAATTGACTATCAGTACGAACACTTTGCAGGAATTTGAGTTTTACAAGAACAAATTAGAGTTTGATTAAACAGGGGTATACAAACATATTTATAGTAACAGATAAATGAGAAGGGAGCATATTTATAGCAATACCAATAAACGAATTGTAAAGGTAATCAATGTGAGACCATGACTAGGACGTCCAGAACTACTCGTTGTCATCCATGCCATCAAGGTCAAGGAAAGCCATAGCATCTTTGTGTGACGCTACAGCAGCAGCACCATTAGAGCAGAGTTTCCTTTTGAGATGAATTAGTCAATGCGGCACATTCACAGCACAATGAACTTACTGGACAGCTGAGAAAATGTCGGCCATCAACTTGTGAAACTTGCTCGGCACATTCTCCTCCATTTCGTTGAGAAAGTTCACATGGAAAGCATAGACCTCGCTGAACTGGTTGGCTGTGAAATTGAACTTGGGGGGAGATTTGTTGGACTTCCACAAGAGTGCAGCATACACCTAGTAGTATATGCTCATTAATACATGGACCGAGAGTAGATCAAGAACAAAAAATGTACTGAAGTGCTGGTCAAAGCAACCATCAGAATTGTTACCTCAGGCTGTTGGGCCTTGTTTCCTGCAATCTCCTTAAAACGGTCTGCGAATTTCATGCCAACTGACTTGGACCCATTGAAGTAACATCCCTTCATTAGGTAAGGCAATATATCCGCAGAGTAAGGTTTTTTCGCCTGCGGAACAGGGTTGTTTTTCTCCTGAAGTGCATCCACACACGATGCTGAGAAATTCATATACAAAATAGAATATAAAACCTACATCAAAATGCTGCGCATAATGGTAAACATGGCTCGCCAGCAGAGCCTTAGCAGTATCAACGCAATCAGGACCAAGATGGTAGTACACCGTGACTTGTGCACAAGCATCATCTTTTAATTCACTACGAAATAGCGGCACTCGAGCATCAACCTGCATGCAATGTTATAGTACTAAGCACCCCATGAAAAGTGACGACTTACCAGAGTTGCAAGTGCAGACACATACGACTCGTTAGTCTTGAGGTGATCATAGACGGGTGTGACGCTGCAGATGTGAGCTGCAGTTAAGAGGGCATCTCATGTGAATTGATTTTTCATGGTGATGTCTGGATAGCTATTGACAAAGGTCATATGAAACTTTGCTTCCAGTATCACTCGTTGGACAACACAATGGGTCTTGCTATCCTGGTCTGTGAGTTTTAACTTTCCGGTGTTTGCATTCCATACAAGTTTGGGCCCCTGAGAATCACCATGATGGTCGTCGTCGTCGTCATCTAGTACCAGGAAGTTGTCATTTGGAGACTTCGGATCGGCATAGTCATTTGACGCAGCCTCGAGTTCCTCCACATCATTGGAATCATCTACCCAAACAGGTGTCTGCAGTGCATAACATTAATCAAAACAGGAACCATCAGAGAAGTGAATTTGCCTCATTAGCGGTTCTCAAAGTTGACTTCGTAGAATTTTGGAAGGTCAGAAATTTGCGCGTTGCCGGTAGTATTGAAGCTCCGACGCTGACAAACAAACCCTAAGCTTTCAAGCTGTACCATCTGCTATAGCGTTCTGCAGCTCCATCAATATGCCCCGTGAATCAGATCGAAAGAAGCTGCTTCGCAGCCTCAAACAAACCAGAAATGACCTTACCATCGCGCGATATATGGAACTAATCGAGTTTATGATAGATCAGCTACTAGATGAAGACGACGATGAAGACGATGATAAGGAATCTGACAATGCTGTCGATGGCCATAGTGGCTCGGATATTAGTATACAGTCCGCATCACCAACATGGCCAACGTCCCCAGTGTCCCCCACGTCGTCGATCGCGTCTGCCTTGTCAAACAACTCTCTGACGTCACTCTCCACAGCGTACTCCGAATTCCTATCGCGCGATATCCCAGATATGTGCGAACGAGTCTTTACTCAGTTTGCCGATGCAATCACTGCACTGCATGACGAGGTAGAGAAATGTCGAGTCCTTGATGTCCGTCCGTCTCTAAGTCGTGCGCCTCAGCTACACTTGCTGGAGGAGTGGGCTCTATTCTCACCTGAAAAATTCCGTCGCAAGCTCCGTGTTGACGCGGACGTGTTTGATGAACTTACGAAGTTGATTCAAGGACATGCCATCTTCTACAACAATTTGAATAACCCCCAGCTCCCTGTCCCAATACAGCTCGCCATTTTTCTCAACGGCGCTGGCCATTATGGCAATGCCGCAACCACTGAAGACATCTCTGACTGGGCTGGAGTGTCCGTGGGGACCGTCTACAACTGCTACAAACGGGTGATGATCGCAATCCTTCAACTTCATGACCGGGCCATTCATTTTGATCCGCTTGATCACGAGGATCAAATTGAGCGAGAGCGGGCGAAAACTTACGTCGAAAGTAAGATGTGTCATGAATGGCGTGGAGGCTTTCTTTCTGTAGATGGGACTCCGTCCCCCTTACACGAGAAGCCAGGTTGGCATGGGGAGGGTTTCTTCGACAAGAACTCAGACTATTCTCTAACAGCGCAGGTAAGTGTCAGTTCGATGTGCAGCGTGGTGACTTACCATCAAAAAGGTTGTTATATTCCCTCATAATCTTCGTATCGTGGACTATGTCATTGGCGTACCTGGAAGTCTCCACGACTCAAACGTATTTGCGCGGACAAGAGTTTCCCGGGATCCCGAGTCGTTTTTCGGTGCAGGAGAGTGGCTGTGGGCAGATTCGGCGTACGCTGCGCGAACCTGGTGTGTGCCGCCGTATAAACGGCCAGTGGGAGGGAGTTTGATGCTGGACCAAAAGACGTTCAACTATAACCTATCAACAGTGAGTATGAATGGCAATATACATTCATAGTACTTACCCAACGTCTAGGTCCGTGTTCGTTCAGAGCATTTTTTCGGCTCTATCAAGGGCCGGTTCCAATCACTGCGGGAGCTTCGCATCCCAATCCAAAGTCAGAAGGACCTCGACTATGCAAACATGTGGATCCGTTCGTGCTTTGTTCTGCACAATCTAATCGTCGAAATCGAAGAAAAAACACACCATGAAGACACGAACATCTGTTTCTATCAGCAAACTCGGAGGTTGAGGCGGGCTGATGGTGACACAGGAGAGGATGATCAGCAAGGGGGTGGTGCAGTAGGTGATCAGACTTACATTGGAACTGCAGGGCAGGATTTTCGCAACGTGTTAAAGGCGCGGTTGCTTTCCTCATTGGAGCGAATCGCAACACATTAAAGATGTGTTTGTCAAGTAGAAGTTCTTCGTCCTCTTTAGTACCCAATGAGGGAAATTTGCGCTTGAGCTCAAAGCGCTTATCCCAAACCTGTAGTGTTTGCTGTGTGTAGTCACGCTTGAGATCGAGTACAAAATGGCATGCATTTCCGAGTCCTAAAAACGAGTCACATGATGACACAGTACAGACCTACTTCAGTTTTGATCAGAACCACGCTCCATAGCAATACGACGAATCCGAGCCTCCTCCTCTTCTCGACGTGCACGAGATAGCTCAAGCTCGAGTCTTGCAAACTCGATTTGTTGAGTCATCCTCTCCTGCTGGTGGAGATGGTCTTGTTCCGCAAGATGCATCACATGCTCCCGCTCATCACGAGCACTGCGGGCCTTGAGATCACGAGCCCAAATGTCGCCCTGAAGTTTTATACGTTTGTAGCTTTCGTGCTCGACACGATTCTCACGTTTGCTCTCAAGGTGCTTCATTAGAGAGTCTGCCGTTTGGGACATTTTTTCTGCAGCGGCAGAGGTCTGGTCAAGAGCACTGCCGCCAGGGCGTTTGCGTGATGAAGAGGGGGGATGACTAAACTGAGGTGATGCACTTCGAGTAGGTGGACAAGACCGTTTTGTAGCAAGAGAAGGTGAACTTTCACGACTTCCCTTAAGCGAGCTGACATGGAGAGACCGCAGTGCTCGGCTGGCACCAATATCCGAGTCTTCTGAGTCGATAGGCGTAGACTGATAGCTAGGTGAAGATTCCCTAAAATCGGAAAAAACAGACAATGGATTATCGGGGGCACTGCGATTGGGTACTGGCGAGCGCTCAGGAGAGTTCAACGATACCACTCCAAGTGCGTCAGAAGTTGAGATGGGAGGGAGCTGAGATCGTTGGAACCAGTGTGGCAATGGAGGCAGTGAGAATGAGTCAGGTGTGTTGCTAGGACCACGGTCCAAAGGTACAAGCGATGATGATGCTGATGATTGTGATTCTATGCGGGGGGGCTGGTCGACTATCATTTCATCTGCCACATCGACAATGGCACCATCGTCCACACTGCGAGTATCGACCTCGACTATGTCTCCATCATCATCCGTGCGAGCATCGTCGTCAACTGTAGCCGGTGGTTGTGGGTGCTTGGAAATATTGAAATGTTCCAATGCAGCAGACGCAAAATCTTGCCCTGCATCTGCAGTAGAGAAGGCATGATTGAAGGCTGGATTTGTCCGCCACCAGCCATGAAGCTCAGGCCACCAGGGAAATTTTTCGAGCTTTGTATCTGACGGAGACATGGTTCAGACAGGCGCAGATCAACAGCAGCTGAAACTTACCGATCAAAGACTTGATCTTTGGATCTTCTTGCAGCTCCGCATATGTCTTTCCTGCTCCCGACTGTTTGAGGTCCTTGTTAAATTCGTTGTATTTTTTCCTCAGTCTGAGACATCTGATCAGTGATTCCAGTGGGAAGATGGATGACGCAGGAACTAGATACTTACGTGCCGAAACAGGTTGAAACTGGTTTTATGAATGCCTTGGGGTCCTCCTTGAAGAGTCGTTGAACCTCCAGATCCTCATCATTCGAAAATACAGCTTGTGCGACCTGTGAATACACAACATCTCTCGAAGTACCACTCTGCTTCTTCTTCCGACCTTGCTCCTTGGCATCCTTTACAGAATCAGAGAAAAGCTTGATGCGTGCGTCTTCATTTTCCTTGCACCAGGCAAGTAGGCGTTCAGTACGAGCACTACGGACCCCCTCCCAATGGATAGTACACTTCTTTGAGGTGTCCGTACCAGCAGATGTATTGGTTCGACCTCTTTGATTGGATCGTGACATGATCCAGGATATTCCTACTGACAGCAATTAAGAATCAGATTAAAGCTTTAGCAGTGTCGACACCAGCAGCAACGATGTTGAGCACGCTGGCAGGGCAGGTCGGAGTTCAAAACCTGCCGTATCGGCAGCATCCGAATTCACCATGATTTTTTTCAAGGTTCGACTTTGAGAACCGCTATTTTCTCATTTAAGATCATGCACAGACTAAGCCTTTGCCTGTTGAAGGTGTCAGTCAATGGGTGTCATTTTCAGCACAGATGGCAACTTACACTTGTATGGCCGTGTGTGTTGAACTCATATTTTGTCTGTCGAGGGGCAGCAATCAAATGCCAGTTATTTTCAGTACGGATGGCATCGAGGCAAAAACTTACCCTGGAAGCCATGGGAGCCTTTGGCCATGGGAGATGGTTCAGCTGTCTGCCTCAACTATGAGGTATAAGTTTTGTTAGCATAAATAGCAGAGTGTACTTCAAGTTGCAAGATAAAGAATTGGCTGACCTTGGTAGCCATGGTTGATTTAGACTGAAACGATTCAGTTTTCTGTGTCAGCTTTGGTGTGGACTCAGATGGACGAGGCCAGGTTGGTTGGGTAAGCAGGAAGTCATGCCTTTCGGCCTCTGACATTGAGACAAACTTTGGTATCTGAGTGATATTGATTGAATGTGCGGTCAGCGATCTGGAACAGTAGTAGTACTTACTTCAGCTGACAGGAACTTTACGGCGGACTCCGGTTCCTCTAAGTCATCATCAGTTTCTGCATCAGTATCCAACCCTGAGTCGCCACTAGGTTTATAATCAGATATATCTTGTTCATCTGCTAAAAACGTGTCATCAATCATGCAAGACACATCTTGAGAGGTTCGAGCTGGAGTTAGCTGCTGTTCAGTTTCTTTTCGTGCTGCAAGTACAGATGCATCATGCTGAACTGACTCGAGGTAATAAAAGGTGTACCTTTCTTTTGTGGTGGCCCCTGCCTCCCAATACCCATGCTGCCTTCATTGGACTCTGCAGATGTGTTTGGTGAGCACATACCAGTGCGTAGAACACTGCACTTACCTTTACGCTTGCTAGCCCAAGGGATTGCTGAATGACTGACTCCCTTTGATGCAAGTGAGTTGCATGCTTTCTTGGCCCGCTGTTGTGGTATGAGAGGGTGCTGTCTTTTTTGACGCATGTCGGTCCTCCAGACTAGTACAGTGTGTAGTAAGTGAGTTGATTCTGGGCCCATTCAATTTTTAACAAACTTACCAGCATTCTCCATCGCCCTTTTTTTTGTGGGTCGAATGCCTGCAAAAATATGCAATTTGTTATCTGGATTCGCAAATGGTGGTGCACAGTGAGCACTTACTTCGGCCAGATGTGATATCGCTAGGCATGCTAAAATATATCAATGAGTGAACAATTTTAAAAGAATGTAGATGCGGGAATACTTCCCTGTCTGCCAGCCGAGATTGATTTATAGCTACTAGGCATCCATACTTTTGAGGGTCCCTT